TTCTTCAGGCTGAACAAGCCCAGCTCCCTCAGCCTCTCCTCGTAGGAGAGATGCTCCAGTCCCCTCACCATCCTCGTAGCCCTCCGCTGGACTCTCTCCAGTAGCTCCTCATCTTTCTTGAACTGGGGAACCCAGAACTGGACACAGGACTCCAGATGAGGCCTCACCAGGGCAGTGTAGAGGGGAAGGAGAACCTCCCTCGACCTGCTGGCCACACTCTTCTTGATTCACCCCAGGATCCCATTGGCCTTCTTGGCAGCCAGGGCACACTGCTGGCTCATGGTTAACCTGTCGTCCACCAGGACACACAGGTCCAGGACACCCAGGTCTTTTCTTTCTATTACTCAACAGAATTGCCATCTACTTTCATTTTGTTTTGTTTAAAGTAGATGATGCTGTAGAGATTTCCAAATCTTTCGACCTTGCCATTTTTGTAATGAGTTAACAGTGCTTAACCTAATGCTGATAACCAGCTCCCACTTCATAAAGTCAAACAATAATTGAATACACCAACTGTCAGAAATAAGTTAACAGACAATGTTTACATATCTGAGTGAAAAAAATTACTTTTATTTTTAAGTTAACTTGTCTGCTCTGGCTACACTGTTATGTTGCTGAATTCAGAGATTCAGATGAATAGGTATAAGCCAATACAGGATTCCTCTTATTTCCTGTGTGGTTGTTATTTTACAACAGATCTTACAATGCAAAGAGTGCTTACCTCGAGAAGGCCATGTAAACGTAACTGCCATCGTGGGTATCATTTTGTGGGATCAGATGCTTTGTAATACAGTGTGTGCAAGAAAATACTCAGAGTAAAAGTATAAAACGATTAATTTCCTGTCTGTCACATTGCATTCTAAGGAGTCCAGCGGAAGGCTACAAGGATGGTGAGGGGACTGGAACATCTCTCCTATGAGGAGAGGCTGAGGGAGCTGGGCTTGTTCAGCCTGAAGAAGAGAAGGCTGCGAGGGGACCTTATAAATGCCTACAAATATCTGAAGGGTGGCTGTCAGGAGGATGGGGCCAAGCGCTTTTCAGTGGTGCCCAGTGACAGGACAAGGGGCAATGGGCACAAACTGAAGCAGAGGAAGACTTCCGTCTGAATATGAGGAAGAACTTCTTCCCTCTGAGGGTGACGGAGCCCTGGAACAGGCTGCCCAGGGAGGTTGTGGAGTCTCCTTCTCTGGAGATATTCAAGACCCGCCTGGACAAAGGTCCTCTACAACCTACTGTAGGTGACCTTGCTTCGGCAGGAGGGTTGGACTAGATGACCCACAGAGGTCCCTTCCAACCCCTACCATGCTGTGATTCTGTGATTCTGTGATTCTGTGAGTTAAGTCTGATATGGGGATAGTGAAAATACAGACATTGCAGCTGCGGTTTGAAGTATGAAATGCTTAAGCTTCAGCTGAAGAGTTGCTGTTATTGTCAAAATGTTTTGCTAATCCAGAAGGTCTAATGCAGCATAACCTAGAAGCTTGTTTAGTATGGCTGTATAACTCTCTGTAAAACTGATTGTTGATTTCCATAGCATAATTTTTTACAGCAGAAACATCAGCTCACAGTAATTCCAGTGAGGGTGTTGAATGTTTTCTTATTAGACTTTTCAAAATGGGGATGAACTAATTTCTCTGGAAAAAATATATGGTAAAGTTTTTGCTTTAAATAAGTGGTAAATACATGTGAACATGTGTAATGCTAGGCTTTTTATTTACTCCAAAATGGCAACAATATTTTCAGAGTAAAGCGAATGGATTATATTGCAGATATAGTACAGATTCTTAGTCATTTTTCATTTAATGTCTTTTTATGAGTGCATTAAAACTATTCACACAATTTGTAAGTTTCTATTTTTTCGTGAAACCTTTGATCTTGCAATGAGATTTAATAAAAGAAAGAAGAAAGATGTGGTGTTTTCTGTTTATCTGTGCTGCTAACTGTAGTTACACTATGCTAACAGAAAGACTGAAATCTCCAACCTTGAATATGTGGAACTCATCTGTGCATGGTCCTAAGCAAACTAATCCAAGCTGGCCCCATTGTGAGTGGCAGAGTTCGACTAGATGACCTCCAGAGATCTTTTTCAGTCTAAAGTACTCCATAACTCCAGGGTTTTGTATGTATTACAAATCTAGTTGGTCATCTCTTTTCACTTCTGCCATTAATTCACTTCCAGTAGTTTTGCCTTTTGCTGGCTATTAATCTCACTCTTATTTTTCTGATCTTACTAACCTTTGTAGATCTCAGTGTGGCTAATTAATTTCCATGGGTCTTGGCATTTACATAATTTAGAAGCTTATATGGTATAGGAATTCTAGATGGAAATACTGTCTTCTAAACTGCAGTGTTGCCACAGGTAGCTCTTTAATTTCCTTAAAATAAATCAGTGTTTCCAAAGTAGTGTTATAGGACTAAATAACAATGTTGCACACTCTAATTTTGGAAATGTCATTTAGGGTAAATACCATTTGGGGGAAAAAGAAAAGCTATTGCGTCTTGTAAAAACAAAAATTACCCCTGTTTTCTCTTACTCAGACCTTACAGTGGATTCAGAAACTCACCAGCAGCTTGCATGCTGGATTTCTTAGGTTCCAACAGGTCTACTTTACTGACAAAATGCCTTTATTCCTTCAAGATCTTTGTGGGAATCTGCCATTAAGGTAGGTAACGTGTGGCTCAGCATTTGCCTTGTCAGACATTTGTAGGCCAGAGGAGCTGGGCTTGTTCAACCTGCAGAAGAGGTGGCTAAGGCGAGCTCTAAGTGCTTTCTTAACTAAGCAACAGGTAGAAAAAAAAGACAGATAACCTTTATTTGCAATCATTCACTCGTCTAAATCCAGGTATAATTCTGTTTAGTGCTACTCAAATAGTTCGCTTGGTGGTCACTCTTCGCATCTCTCAGCACTTAAAGGCGATGTGGAGGGAAGTGTCCTCACGTGATGTGTCCTAGCAGGTGAAGTGGCTGCCATGGTGTTTTGCATGCAGATTCAAGTTCACTCTGCCCAGCTCCCAGATTAATGGGAAGTTTCACAAATTGCCAAATCCGAGCTGGCGTATCCCCCTTCTCAGCAAGTTCTCTGTGTAGCACTAGGCAGCTTCTAGTCATCTTGGAACATGGACAAAGTGAATTTCTCTGAAACATGCCATAGATAAGGATAGACTGATCCCAGGATGGCTACAGGTGGTTCGTGGGAGTGACTGTCAGCATCCTCAGAACCATTGCCCAAAGGTCTTCTGTGCTACTCTTACAGCAACTGACTCTTCTTAACCTTCAAAACTCAGCCATGGCCCCAGAACCCCACTGGGTTCACTCACTCCCTCCCCCTGTAGGTCCTGCAAAAGAGTTGGGAGCTGTCCTTGATAGTTTCCTAGAACTATTAAACTTACCAATCTATCTAGCTGGATTTTCAAAAACAGTATTTGATAAAGCAAATTGTAATCCCTTTTGAATGAGAAAATAGCCGTACTAAGAATAATTAACCAGCAGTTATTTTTTTGAGGCTTTCAGCTGGCTTCCATGTGAGTTCACTGATGTCCAGCTAGATTCTTAAGAAATAAACATGGCCTTGCTGATGCTTAATAAACTGTGGTATTGACACGAACAAAATCAAAAAAAGCAGCAGGTCATCTACACAATAGTTACATGAAAACATAACAGAGTCACACAGCAAGGTTTAGGAGGTTGACAGGGCCTTCTCCAGATGATGTGATCTTGAACAAGAAAAGGAAAAGGACCTCTACATCTTTTAAATAATTAGAGTAGGGTAGGGTTGCATAGCATAGCATAGCATAGCATAGCATAGCATAGCATAGCATAGCACAGCACAGCACTGCATAGAATAGAATAGAATAGAATAGGAATAGGAATAGAATAGAATAGAATAGAATAGAATAGAATAGAATAGAATAGAATAGAATAGAATAGAATAGAATAGAATAGAATATCAGTTGGAAGGGACCTGCAATGATCATCTAGTCCAACTGCCTGACCTCTTCAGGGCTGACCAGAAGTTAAAGCATGTTATTAAGGGCATTGTCCAAATGCCTCTTCAACACGACACTAAAACACTTGCAGCATCGACCACCTTTCTTGGAAGCCTGTCCCACTGTTCGAGCACCCTCTCAGTAGAGAAATGCTTCCTAATAAGAGAATGCATTGCAAAATA